GCCGGCCTGGGAACCCAGCCTCGCCAGCTTTCCTGCACCCTGCTCCTGGCGCCCGCCTCCCCTCAGGTTCCCCCTTGGGTGGCTCGGAACTCCAGAGGCCTAGGGGGGTCTCCCCACCCGGGCAGCGACCCGGAGGGCGCCCCCTCGCGGCTGGAATTCTGCCGGTGGCAGCCGGTGGGGTCCCTACCACCCTGCCCTCCCTCCTGCGCCTCCCGGCAGCGGCGCACACCCACCCAAGGGTGCCCCTGATACCAGGGCATGGGTCAGGCGGAGCGCCAGGGGAGAGGCTTGGGAAAGACGGTAAGGTCTGTCTGGGAAAAGAGGGAAACCGAGGCAGCCAGATGGAGACTGGGGGAACAGTTCTAGGAAAACAGGAAATTCCAACAGGGATGGAGGTTGCTGGGGGCAAATCTGCCCTGCAGGGTGGCAGCCTGTCCCCCCCAGTCCACCATGCCTTCTGCTGGCTCTCTCTCCCTCAGGGGGCTCCTTCGTCCCCTAGAAAGAAGCCCCCTCCTCCGGCACAGGCTGCCGGCTGGTGGCGGGCTCCCTCCCTCTCCCAGCTGGGCGCCATCTTCCCTCCTGGGGCCCCACCCAGCATTGAGTAACCTCCTCCCCCAACCCCCAGCCCTGGAGCTGGAGTTAAGCACCCCGTCAGTAGGAAACCTTGGTCCCTTCCTACCTAGGGTGCCCTGGGGGCCCAGACTCCCTGAGACCAACTCGGACCTCTGGGAAGAGCTTCTCCCAAGGACAGAGTCTGCCAACCCTTATGCCAGAACTGGGGCTCAGCCTGGCCATTCACTGACCAAGGCCGCCCCCCACCCCAGAAAGAGAACAAGGGCTCAGGAGCTGTGAGGCTGCTGGGGTCACCTGGTTCCCCCATGGGACTCCCCCACTGGACAGGCCCAGAAAGGCCGACGACCCAAGGGCCACGTAACAGCTGGTGGCGATCCGGGCCAAGGCTGTCTGTGGCCTCGTCCCACATTGCCCGCGGTCATGGCGTGGTCATGGCGTGGGTTAGCCTCTCACGCTAAGGCTCGGTCAGGAGATTGTGGGGGCACAGGAGAGGAGTGGACTGAGGTCCTTCTGGCTGCCCTGCCACCGCCTCCCCTTGACGGCCCCGGGGCAGCAGAGATGGGTCTGGCCTAAGACCTTGGGACAGACCTTGGGGCAGTCTCAGGAAAGAGGGCAGGTCCCAGGCTCCCGGGAAGCTCTGCACAGGCCCAGGCCCAGAGGGTCCAGTTCTGCCCTGGAACAGAGGCAGGAGCTCGCGCCAGGGTCCGCCAGGCCAGTCCCCTCGGCACCGGGGCAAAGAACGGGCGAGCTTAGAGACAGGGGCCCTGGGGGCCGCAAGCAGGCCATAACATGAGCACGGTGAGGGTGACAAAGGAAATGACCCCCCTTTCTCCCGCCACCCCACAACCAAGGATTTAAGATTGGACCCCTCATTGCTCCTGGCCCTGCCCCCCCAGCCTCAGACCCTGGCTAGGGCTGCCTCCCGGGGGTTGTTCCTGGCCCCCACTCAAGCTGTGCACGCTCGGGCTCAGGAGGCCCCAGGCCCAGCTGGGGTGGGGGCCATCAGAAGAGTAGGCAGTGCCCGCTCGAGACCCCGCCCGGGGTGGGAGGGGAAAGGCCACAGAGGAGAATCAAGGGCACGCACGCACGCACGCTGGCCACCCAGCCCTGGGCAGGGCCCCGGAGGCATCTGTGGATACCCCAGACTGGCAGTCTCGCCAGGGCACCTCCCCAAGTCACCCCCTCAGACCCACCTAAAGGCCATCAGGAAGAGGGCGGCTTGGTAGGCAGAACAGGAAAACGGACCCCCAAGCCACAAAGCGTGCCAGCTGGGGGTTGCGGGGGGCTGGGCAGACACAGGCCAGTGCCTGGGGCTCGGCTTGGTGGCCGTGAGCTCTGACAGTCGCACTGACCTTCTCTGGGCACCCGGAAAGGCCCTTCAGACGCCGGCCGCGTGCTGCTGGCTGGGTGTTGGTGAGCCCACCTGAGAGACAGCTGGAGCCAGGAGCATGGGAGGGGGGTCCACATTCGAGCCTCTCCTGGCCCCCAGCCCCTGCACCCCTTCCTTGCCCCCAGGGGGAACAGCAGCCGGGGAGCCCCCAGGAGTTCGTGGGGTCAGCAGTTAGAGCTACACGTGGCACAGAGTGTTGGGGAGCGTGCGGGATCAAGAGGAGGGTGGACACTGGTGTAGGGTGTGGTGGGGCGGGATGGCTCTGGGGTTCAGAGGGAGCCTGAACAGAGAGAACTGAGGTTGGGCATCCAGGGGAGGCCAGGCTGCGGCTGAAGCGGGGTTCGGGCTGGCCCGCCTGGAGTGGGTCCTTTCCAGGTTAGGGTCCTGCTGGCAGTGAGCACAAGCAGCAGCAATGGGGTGCTCTGTTGGGGTCGTCCCGCTCTTCCGGCCTGTCCCGCCTCCGTGCCGCCTGCCGTACTCTTGCCGACCCTCACGCAGTTGCCAGCTGGACAGAGCACTGGGAAGGGCTCGGGGGGAGCGTGTCCCAGCATGGCGCCCTGGGGCCTCTCTGCGGGGGACCCTGCTGGCCGAGTCTGCTGTGTGCCCCACAGTCCTCCCCAGCTTTCCAGGGCCTGTGTACCCACGCCCCTGGGGCCAGCCCAGCAAAGGCTCAGCAGGAGGGCTGGGGGGGAGCCTGCACCCACCTCCTCACTGCCAAGGTCGTCTGAGGTCTGCAGACCATCATTCTGCCAGAGGGACTCTGGGCTCAGCAGGGCCATCTGGGGGAAGGGCCCAGGAGGCTAAGCTGCGGAGGAATCCACGCAGCCCGGAGGCCCCTGGTGTGACCTCTCCTCGTGCCCTGGGCAGGGGGGCCGGGCCTTCTGGCAGGGAAGAGGGCACCCCCGGTGGGGGTGCGGTCAGCTACCGAGAGCAGCTTGGGCAGAGCCGTCCCGAGCCCCACGTGTCTGAGGCTGGTGCACAGGGCTCCTCCACGGGCTGGTCTTGGGGCGGCAGGCAGGGTCTGCCTGCTTGCCCCAGGTCTGAGAAGAGAGTCCGCATCCACTACCCCCTGCCCCGAAGCGATCTGACCCTGCGGGGCAGCGACCCCCTTAGTAGAGGAGGCTCACCTGCCCCCCTCGGCCCCACCCACTGCAGTCACAAGGCCAGGGTTCCAGAGAGGAGGGGCCCACCTAGGTCCTCGTCCAGCTACCCCCAGTGTTTCTCAAGGCCCCGCCCCCGCCCTCAGAGGGCAACGGCTGTCCCGCCCGCCCGTCCCTCCCGGAGGTAGGTGAGCCGGTCAGCCTCGCTCAAATAGGTTCCCAGACGCGCCTCGCCCACGGCCCAGGACCAGAGGGTGAGCAGCAAGGAGCGGAGGCTGGACCCTCCCCTGGCACGCGCCTGTTTGCAGGCCTCGGGCGCTTACCCCAGCCGCTGTCCAGCCGCTGTGGGCACTCGCAGCGCTCTGATTTCCTTCCCTCGGGGCGCCACTCCGCCCTGACCCCACCCGCAGAGCCTCCCGGGCCCAGCCAGCAGGACCGAGGGGGCCCCTGGACCAGGCCCCCAGCCCGGAGCCTGTTTCCTGGGGCGCCACTCAGGCGGGCCGTGCTGTCCACCACAGGTTGCTGAACGAGAGCGACAAGCGTCCCTTCATCGAAGAGGCCGAGCGGCTCCGGATGCAGCACAAGAAGGACCATCCGGACTACAAGTACCAGCCGCGGCGGCGGAAGAACGGGAAGGCCGCCCAGGGCGAGGCCGAGTGCCCCGGCGGCGAGGCCGAGCAGGGCGGGACGGCCGCCATCCAGGCCCACTACAAGGGCGCCCACCTGGACCACCGGCACCCCGGAGAGGGCTCCCCGATGTCGGACGGGAACCCGGAGCACCCCTCAGGTGAGGAGGGCCGGGAGCTGCACGGAGCGGGCGGGCCCGCGCCCCGGAGTGCTGGGGGGGGGCCAGGAGCCAGGCCAGGTGTGGACAAGGTGGCTCCGGCGACGGGGGTGCCCGTGAGGTGGACGTGACTGGAGACATGGGAGGCGACATGGCCTCGTTCCAGCCACAGGTCTGGTGGCCACACTTGGGGCGACTTGTTTCATTCTCGCCCCCGGCGATGACGGCGCGTTACTCACTGGTCGTCATAACCAGGTGAGCGCGCTGAGTGGGCCCGCTGAGACGAGCCCGGGAGTTGGGCTCCGCGGCCTGGGTGGGCACAGCGTGCCCCCGGCAAGTGCCCGCGAGCAGAGCTCGCCTCAGAGACAGGTGTCCAGTCCCCCTGGGCGCCCGGTGCGGGGCAGGCCCACGGGGCCCTCTGAGAAGGAGTTAGGCGCCCGCCTCGGGCCCGGGCAGAGACCAGCGGGGAGCAGGGAGGGGAACCTGCCCTCAGGAGGCCCTCAAGACAGGCGGGGAGGCCCTCCCGCCAGGCCTCAGTCAGACCCTGGCCCGGGAGGCTTCTGGAAGGGGCGGTGTCTGTGCCGCTCCGCATCGTCTGCACTGACGAGAGCCGGCGGGGTTTGCCCAGGTCACACCCCAGGTGCAGAGCCAGGACTCAAACCCCAGCCCGGGAGCTCGGCGTTCGGACCGCAGGGTCCTGCCCTAGGGGCGCGGCGGCCCGGGTGGACGGGGTGGGAGCCCTCCCCCCGCGCCCCTCCCCCCGAAAGTACTGCTCACCTCCAGAGAGGCAGGGTCACAGCACACACCAGGAAGCCCCCGGCCCTGTACAGGACCCCGCCTCGGAATACGCCGGGGGTTGGGGGGGTCGGGCGCCTCCTCGCCTTCAGGGCCCGCACAGCTACTCCTCAGTGCGACCCTCACTGACCCCAGGCTGGAGGTGGCTCCTGCAGGCTCCCTAGCCCTTTGCATGGCCGTCGCCAGAGTGGGGCTCTGGGCCTCCCCCGCAGAGGAGGGCAGGCCGCGCTGAGATGCTGGTGTCCCGCCACGGGCAGGGAGCAGGACCCCAGAGTGTTGGCAGAGGTCACGGGCAAGAGTAAAGGGACCAGGGGCCAGGGGCAGGGCAAGGCAGGCTGGGTCCGGCCAGAACCCGGGGGACGGGCGACGTGGCGAGCGTGTGAGGGGCTGAGGGCGCCGCTGGGGCTGGGGCGGCGGGGAGGGCGTGGGCAGGTGGGCGTGGGCAGACCTTAGGGAGCGCTGCGGCCAGGGTAGGTGGAGGCACAGGCCAGGCGGCAAAGGTGCCCCGAGTCAGGGTGGCGAGGGCGGCCCAGGTCAGCAAGGGGCACGGCCAGCACATGTCGCAGAGAGCAGGGGTCCTCAGGTGGGCCGGCCCCTAGAGGTCAGTAGCTGAGGGGCCCGGGAGCAGGGCGGGAAACCGCCTCCTGCTGACCCGAGGAAGAACTTTCCAGAAGGAAAGGTCCTTCAAAATGAAGCCGCCTTGCCGAGGAGGTGGGTGACACACAGGGGTCCTGCTCCGGGCCCGTCCCTAATCCCGGGCACCCGGGGCATCTCGTAAACAACCGGGACCACCCCAGGCCACCGTAGACACACTCAGCCCGCCGGGACGCGCACGTGACCAGCCCCGGGCAGCTCGCGAAGCCGGGGGCCTCTGACCTCGTCCCCCTCTCTCCATCACTCTTCCTCCCAGGCCAGAGCCATGGCCCACCCACCCCGCCGACCACCCCAAAGACGGAGCTGCAGCCGGGCAAGGCAGACCCCAAGCGGGACGGGCGCCCTCTGGGGGAGGGGGGCAAGCCTCACATCGACTTCGGCAACGTGGACATCGGGGAGATCAGCCACGAGGTAATGTCCAACATGGAGACCTTTGACGTGGCTGAGTTGGACCAGTACCTGCCGCCCAACGGGCACCCAGGCCACGTGGGCGGCTACTCGGCGGCCGGCTATGGGCTGGGCAGCGCCCTGGCTGTGGCCAGCGGACACTCTGCCTGGATCTCCAAGCCGCCGGGCGTGGCTCTGCCCACGGTCTCACCGCCGGGTGTGGATGCCAAGGCCCAGGTGAAGACGGAGACCGCGGGGCCCCAGGGGCCCCCCCACTACAGCGACCAGCCGTCCACCTCCCAGATCGCCTACACCTCCCTCAGTCTGCCCCATTACGGCTCCGCCTTCCCCTCCATCTCCCGCCCCCAGTTCGACTACTCTGACCACCAGCCCTCAGGACCCTATTATGGCCACTCGGGCCAAGCCTCCGGGCTCTACTCGGCCTTCTCCTACATGGGGCCCTCCCAGCGGCCCCTCTACACGGCCATCTCTGACCCCAGCCCCTCAGGGCCCCAGTCCCACAGCCCCACACACTGGGAGCAGCCCGTATATACGACGCTGTCCCGTCCTTAGGGGGACCATCCCACCTGGGCCCGCTGGGTAGTGAGCCCCTCTCCCCAGCCTTTGCACCCCATCCCTTGCCCATCACAGGCCCGATGGAGGGGGCTGCAAGGCTGGCGGTCGAGGGGAGACTGTCTGTCTGGCTTCCTGCCTTTGATGACCCTGCCCCATCCTGTCCAGGCCCCAGCCCAGGCAAAGCCCTTGGTTGCCAGGCTGGGCGGAGGTCGGTGGCCGCCCTAGACTGAAAGATGCGGGGCTGCGCCTCCCCACCCCCCGTGACCCTTGATCCCAGGACTGAGGCGGACGGGCCCCTCCTCTGGGGGAGGCCTCCAGGCCTGGGGAGCGGGGCCTCGCCACGCCAGCGCCCACGTCCTCTGGGTCTTGCATTACCCGGGGTTGGACGTGACCTGTGCCACCTCTGCTACATGCCTCGGAGCAAGGCCACCCAGAGACCACATCATGCCCAGAGAGGCCCACCTCTGCCCCTCGGGGGCCAAGGGCAGCTTTGAACGTCCGGGAATAGGGACTCAGTGGGAGGCCTCATGCCCTCCGGACCCCCGTCCCTCCCGAAAACAGGAAGGAATTGGCACAGCGCCCCCCAGATCCAATCTGTGCCAATAATCTCATGCTGTCTCATGGAGGAAGCACCTCTTGGCCCCACCCACCCCACAACCACCTCCCGGGCCTTGGGGCACCCCCCCGGGGTGAGGGGCCGGGGTTCCAGGAAAGGATTCAGAGACAATTCACAGAGCCTTCTCCGGGCTCCCCACAAACCCCCTCAACCCTCGCCAGGCCCTGTGGCCCTGCTCTGTCAGTCCCAACCCCTTGGGCTTCCCAGAGTTCTAGCTGCCCAGGCGCAAGCCCTCGGCTCCAGGAGACACAGGGCCCAGCCGCCAGGTGGCTGGCAGCAGGCTGAAGACACTAAACTCCTCACATGTACATTCTGCCCTGCCCTCTGCCCTCGCCGCCCAGTGATACCTGAATGAAGTACGTAGCTCCGTCGGCCCCTTCCCTGTCCTGCAGCCCCACGATCCGCATGTAACTCATTGCTGCCCCTTATTTATCTCGGTAGGCCCCGTTTCCTCGCCCCCTCCTAGGTACTCCAGTCCCTATTAACTCTGCATTAAGATTCCACATAATAAAGAGAGGTTCCGGCACCGCGTGGTAGGCCTGCCCTGCCTGTCTCTTGGTCTCTTCCCCCGGCCCTGTGCTTCCTCAGACCTGGGAAAAGCTAGGGGTGCAACGCAAAGGGGAGGTAACCCAGAGGTCTCTCTCGCCTAAGAAGGGGGACGCTACGCGGTGGGACGACTGGCTTCCCGGTGGGCTCTCTGTGCTCGGGAAGCTTGAGGGGAGCAGCACCCCCAGCCCAGCTGCGCCCCACCCCGCGTGGGCCACCCCCAGACACCCAGCGCCATGAGGACACCTCCCGGGCAGCCCGTGCTCGGCCGGCAGGAGGGCTGTGGGGCCGTTTGCGGCAGCAGACCCGGCCCTTCAGGCTGTGTGCCTGGGGCTCCATGTGGTGCCCCTACCTGCCGCCTCTCACCCCCCACACAGGCTCACCCCAGAATCCAGCCGAGGCTTCACGGCAGCTGCCAGTGTGCAGGTATAAACCAAGGACGCGGACGTGCACCCGCCCCCAGGGCACTGAGGACGACGGGGGCGGGTAGCTGTTCCGCCCGAGCACCAGGCACCCCGGCGGGGGTGTGGGCATCTTCTCCACCTGATAGGCCCCTCCATAGCCACCTCAGGAGCACAGTACCAGCCAGAGTGCGCCCTGACCAAGTGCTTGCCCCTCAGACCTTTGAAGGAGGGTGCCCAACACCCCATTTTCCAGATGGGGAAACTGAAGCTTGGAGAGGCTGAGGCGAGGGTTGGTGCCAGCCGACTCCCAACCCTGGCCTCTGCCCGCCCACCCCTCAGCACCCAGGCTCCTCACCCGCCTCTCCGTGGTCGCCAGCCTCTCCCCTGGGGGGGGGTGGGAAGGGTCAAGACCTCCCAAGTTCTCCAGGGTGGCCACACCCCCACGGGAGCCAAGGCTGGCGGCCCCCTCCCAGCGGCCGGCCCGCAGAGCCCCAGGGTGGCACTGGAAGCTGTCCTCTGGTGTTCTATTTTGTCGTACATAAACGCAGGATTTCACCCCCCAGTTCTTTGGCAGGTTTCATCTTGTTGGGTTTGACCCTTTCCCCAACTATATTAAATCTCGTGGAATTCTGAATCCAGCTTGTCAGCTCCCTTCTGAGCTGTCGTTTACAAGCTTGAACATCCACACCCGAGTAACAAACACCACAGGCTCACATGAAGAGGGCAGGCGTGTCCACTTGGCCTCTGCAGCTTCGCTCCCATCGCCTCCCTCGGGGGGCCAAGCGCCTGACCCAGCCCGGGGCGACCCGCCACGGAGCTCGGCCTCCCCAGCAGGGCCGTACGGGAGACGGCTGCCTCTCTGGCACCAAGGGCCGCGGCCTGGCGCTTCTCCAACCAGCAGCCCGTCACCACTTGGGGGAAGTGGACCCTCGGCCCCTGTGGCAGCTCCGGACCTCCCCTCTATTGTATTTTCAAATAGGTAGCGGATTCTAGAATGTTGGAGGGATCAGCAGCACTAGCCTTACAGTCTGAGATTTTCACAACCCAACTTTCCCGCTTTATTGTGGATCTGGACACGCGCCTCCTCCCGGCCTGCCCAGCTCCTGCCCGGGTGCGATGGAGGCTGGGAGGCCGGGCAGGGGCCACATCAAGATGAAAGCGTCGCTGCTAGGCCCCTGCACCTCATGAGACTGACAGCCACTGGGGGTGGGGGCCGGGGAGGGGCAAGTGGCCCGGGCTGGGGACAAATGACCAGAGAGGTCGGAAGACCCCCGATGCCTGTCCCTTAGATCGAAGGCTCCGCGTGAGCTGGTCAGGGAGGCAGTGGCTCCACGTGTGAAGCAGGGCCAGGTGTTTCTGGAAGGGACTGAAGAGACCAGGCCAGGCCAGCTGAGTGACAGGCCTGGCCAGCTGAAAGAGAATGAAAGGGGAGGGTGGGAGGAAACACCCCTTGATCCATCTCTGCTACACCTTATCCCCTAAGGGTTAACCCCCTCCTGGCCCCTCCCCCCATGCCCCATCTCCCTTTAATCACATCTGATACTGAGCGGCCCAGCAGGAACAAAGAGACCATTTAGAGAAATGGGGCCGAGAGAGTGACCCCCGCACTCTGGGGCGGCCGCCGGGATGCCGGCACAATGCGGCATTTCAGGGCTGAAATTTCAGCACCCAACTTGATTAAAGGATTGCATGGGATTGCGGGAGGACGGAGGGGGTGCGAGGGCCACCGCTCCCTGAAGTGACCCTTCCCCAGAGCAGCGCACGAGTGCTCCTCACTCCCACCCAGTCCAGCACGCGCCCATCCTGGGGGCCAGCCTCTGCCCAGGGCGCCCCAAGGGACCCTGCCCCTGGCAGAGGCCGGGCAAGCCCAGCCCCTCCTCTTCCCAGAGGGAAGCGGCGGCGCAGCAGAGGCCGCGCTGGGACCCCCGGGGAGCCGGCTTCCCGGTCTGGTCGGTGGGTCCCACACGCGCCCTCCGGTGCCCCCGCCTCCACGGTCCCAGGGGGCAGGGCGCCACAGGATGGGTCTTCCCGCAGGCTGGGGAGCAGGATGAAGAGAACAGGACCCACTGGAAGCCGAGAGGACGGGGCCCAGCCTGACTCACTGCCACACCTGAACCCTGCTCCCCGGGTCACCTGGCGGGGCCGCGCAGCCCCGCGCGGAAGGGGAGAGGCAGGGCCGCCCTCCAGATGGCGGGAGTGTGCGGGTGCAGGTCCCCGGCAGCCCAGGGAGGAGCGTGGGGGCCGCAGGCTGGGGGTGGGGGCCGGGGCAGGTGCTCGGCCCTATCTCCAGCTGCTGACTTGCCCAGCAGGGCTCCGCGGGGAGGGCAGGAGATCACTGCACCCCAAGCTTCCTGCTGGGGCACTGCTCCTGAAAGGGGATCCGCGCCCTCGATAAGAGGCTCGAGGCAGGTCCTCAGGAAACAATGGGCGGCTTGATGAGACCTGCTCCGTGATACTCCTGAGAAGGGAGAAGCCCCTGCAGCCAGTCCCCACTGGAGAGGAAATTGGGGGTCTCCGTGGCAACCAGCTCCCTGGGCACAAAGGCGGTCTGTGTGCTGGGAAGGCAGCTGAGGTGTCTCCCCGCAGCAGCCTTGCTGGTGAAGGGAGACGGAGGGGTGGGGAGGACGCGTGGGGGAAGGGCCCCGGCGCTTCTTGAAGAGCTGACAGTCGCTGCGCGTGATCGAGGGGCGAACGGGAAGAAGCGGGCGGCAGCGGGCGGTGGAGAGGGCGCCGGGCTCGGCGGTTTATTTACAGAGAAAGGCAGGACGCGGGCGTGGGCTCAGTCCGTGATGATGAGCTCGTCCACCCCCCAGTCTTCATAGCTCCCGTCGGGCAGGTAGCGGCGGATGATGATGGGGATCTTGCGGGCCCTGTGGCAGGGAGAGGGTCGGCGCGTGGCAGGCTGTGCGGGGCGCAAGGAGGCTGCGGGCCCAGGCGCAGCTGGGGGCGCGAGCAGACTTTGCAGAGAGGAAGGACAAAGGCGAACGTTCCTGTGCCCCCAAGTGCGGGACAGTGGGGCTGAAGGGCTCTGCCCCCAACACTGAATGGGGGTCGGGGACGGGGGGGGGGGGGGGATGCTGGTGGGGCAAAGGCAACAGGAGCCAGGAAATCCTGAGGTCAGGTCAATGGCCCCACCCCACCCTTCGCCCGCAGGAGCCAGCCAGGACAGTGAGTGAGGGTGGGGGCGTGCGGCAGAGACCCCCCAGATGCCTCCCGGGCTCTGGGCCACTTACTTGAGCTCTTTCATGGCGATGAGCAGCGGGTCTGTCTCCCCCTCCAGCTCCACCATCACGGGGGCGCACATCCTGTGGTGCAGGGCAGGCTTGAGGAGACGGCAGACGGGGCCAGGGCCTGGCAGGGAGTCGGGGCTCCCTTCTCAGAGGGGCCTCACCTTCCGGAGGCAGGGCGGGAGGAGGGGAGCAGCAGTTCGGGGGCACTGCCACAGTGGGCACTCTTGTGGGGGGCCATGAGTGGATTTAAATTCTGTCTCCAAAGCCAGGGACTTTCGCTCCAAACCCCAGTTTCCTCATCTGAAAACGGAAGCAAAGCCCTGCAGGGATGCTCCGCCGACCTCCCCCGCCGGGAACACGAAGCGCTTGTTTTACTAGTGAGGAAACTAGAGGTCAGGAACTCGCCCTGTCGCACAGCCAGTAAGCGGCAGACGGGGCTTGAGCCCCCAGCACCAGCACCAGAGCCAGGAGCTGCGAGCTCGAGCGCCCGCTACCCCGACCCGGCCACACGACAGGCCCGTCCAGCCAAGGGCCTGCCCAGGGCGGAGCTCGGACCAGGCCGGCAGCACGGCAGAGCTCCGTCCAAGGGCTCGACCTGAGGCCTGGGCCCCGGGGTGCCTCAGGCCCAGTCACCTCACTTTCTTTCTGTCTTGGCAATACCCCTCCTCAAGGCCCTGCTCGTCCCCCTCCCCAGGGAGCGGGGTGCCAGGCACTCGCCCGCTTACAACCCATCGGCCAATCCCGTGGCCCAGGCGGAGCCCAGCCTGGACCCTGATCATCTCTCTAGCAACTGCTGAAGCTACGTCCCTCTCTCCACCCCACGCTCCAGCCAGACCAAGCGTCTCTGGCCCCCAGAGGAGCCCTGCCTGCCCCTCTGCGTCCTCCGCCCCCCACGGCTCCTGGCCCACAGGGCAGGCTCGCTCTACACGCGAGCTGGGCGCCGACTCCAGGAAGCCAGGCTTAGCGACTCCAGCTCAAATCTTCACGAGCAGATCCCAAATGTGCTAATCATCAGAACCCCTAGGCGAGCATGCTAGAAATACAGGTTCCCGGGGCCCACCCAGCCCCAACAGCAGGCTCGAGGAGCCTGTGATTCTGATAATCAGCCAGACTGAGTGCCGCCTAGCAATTTACACCTAAGGTAAGTCAGGTTTACCCCTAGTACGTTAATGATTTTATTTACTGGCTGGTCTGATTTTGGTTCCTTTCAGACAAAAGTCTGAAAATTTTCCGAAGGCAAGGACCCAGCATCTGGTTTGCCTACATGCTCTCTCAAACATTTAAATCTGCCCTGCTTCCCCCATCTGCCAATGCCTGAATTTCCCAAGATCTGAGAGGCTGAAGCGCAGGCCCCAGCAGCCTGGGGCGGGCCTGCCAGGTGAGGGGTGCCGCCGCTCGAATGGCTGCGTGACAGCCACCAGGTGGCGCTCGGGCAGTGAGCTCACACCCAAAACCACCTGGCATCCCCGCCCAGCTCCAGGGCTGCACTGGGCCTGGCAGTCCAAGGGCCACCACCGCAGGGGACTGCGGGCCAGCGCCCTAGCCCTTCGCCGGAAGGGACACTACAGGCCCAACTAAGCTGGACTGCACCCAGCCCCGAGAGACGCAGAGGCCGGGCCTCGGGGTGCCAGCAAGCTGCTGTCCTGCGAAGTTCTCCAAGTGTTTCAGGGCCCCACGCCGCCACCCAATGCTCCCCTATCGGAGCTCGTCACTCTGGGCACGCCTGACACCTCGCCTTGCACCCCAAGAGGCTTCCGTTCCCACGCCATCTCCACACTTGCCTGCCTCCACGTCGGTCTTCCTGGCACCCGAAGACCCTCAGAACCACCATCCTTTCCTGCCCCCACCTGAGCGCTACCCCCTTCCGGAAGCTCCCCAGCCCCCTACAGGTACCCCTCTCTTTTTTCTACCTCTTGCAAAGCACCACCCAGCTCCACACACGGGAGCCCCAGAGCTGGGCTGTGTCCTCGGCATCGTCACTGCCCACAGGTGCCAGCGCAGCGTCTCATTCAAAGCTGACAGGCTCCATCTGTGCAGTCTGTGCTTGAAAACAACCTAAGAATACTCCTTCCTGGGTCGTTCTGAGCCCCCAAGGTAGCCCCAAGACTCGGCTGTGTGGGGTGTCCTCTCTGCGCTCCCTGATGGCAGCACCAGCCACGGGGCTGCTGAGCACATGAAACGTGAAGCCTGAAACACTGACCTTTTAATCAATTAATTAATGGAATTTAAGCCACATACAGCCGGGGCGCCCATCCAGTGTGGCCTGAGGGCCTGACCCCCATGTGATCAGAAGCACCACACGCGAGGCGCTCCCTGGTGGCGCAGCGGGTTAAAGCGCAGCACTGAGAAGCTACAGCCACTTCCGCCTGAGTTTGATTCCCACCTGCCCTGGAGGTGACCACATGGCGCGGCAGACCTCTCCTGACCCGCCCGCTGCTCCCCTCAGCAGTGTACTTCCTCCACGTAGTCTGCCTGTTCTGCTCCCCAGTGTCTCTGGTGAATCCTCTCACCCCCTGCACCTCTGGCCTGTACCCCAGTTCTGTATGCACAAATAAACCAATCTTTAAAAACAAACAAAAAAAGAAACACCGCACATAATTGCCGGCCCTAGTAGGCGGCCCCGGCCCCCTACTGAGGAACACAGCTGCCTGCCCATAAAACCCATCCCAAGGCAGACATGGGGGTGCTCTTTACCCCTCAAGACTGGAGGTAGCAGGCTGGACGCTGTGTGAGACAGGCAGGAGGGCGGATCTAGCACCCTGTTCCTCTAGAGAGCAGGATCCCACCAGTGCCGCCCCCACTTCCCTTTCCAACTATCTCCACCCCCCATGGGGCACCCTGCCCAGATTTGGCCTCAGATGACGAATCTGACAAGGGGCCTAGGGAGGAGGGCAGGCGCTGTGGCCGCACTCCCCGATCACCCCACCTTAGCAGACGCTCTCCCGCCTGCTGGCTCGCTCCTGACTCTTGTCACACTTCAGAGAAAGAAAAACTTGCTTCTTTCAGACCCCCAGAAGCCCTCCACTGTTCTGTGCTCTCCCGCCCCTGTGGCCTCTCCCGGAGGACCCCCTGGCTACCCCTGAGTGCACGCCTTTTTCTCCTCCGCCACCCTGAGATCACTGACTTCTGCACTTTCATTGCTGTTTTCTCCTGTGCTGTGATTTGACTTCTCAGATGCTCATGGCTTATTTCTCCTATGAATCATAAATTCCCGTAGGGCTGGGGTCTAGCATGGTGCCAAGAACACAGAAGGCAGCACCCTTGCTCAGGTGTGCAGCAGGGAGAGGCTATTCTCGGGACCCAGGCTCACTGTGGCTGACTTAAGGAGAGCGAGGAGCAAAGAGGCCCACACTCACGCAATCTGCAGGGCTCGGGTACCCAGCACGCGGGCTCGCTCGTATTTCGTCATGTAGGGCGTGGTGATTCGCTTCTGGTTGGCCTGTGGGCGCTCCCCAGAGGGGAGGATCTCAACGTTCTCCTGGCCCTCCTGGACACGAGGACAGAAAAGAAGGAGAAGCTCAGCGTGCATTTGGGGGAAGAAGGGAGGATAATGAGAAAGACGCAGGCCTGTGATCGGGCAGTCCCAGGAGGCTGGCCTACACAAAAATGGCCTGGAGCCGGAAGCAAGGAACAGCCTCCCATCCGTCAGACAAGGCGATTCAGTCTGTGGGTCAAGTGGCTAAAAATTCAACAGTGGGGCCTGCCCTGGTGGCGCAGGGCACTGTGAAGCGCAGCACTGTGAAGCTGTCCACAGCCAATGCACCACGAGTTTAATCCCCGGCCAGGGAGTGACCCACAGGGTGCAACAGACCTCTCCTGTCTCCCTGCTGCTCCCTTCAGCAGTGTGTTTCAGTAAAGCCACCTGTTCTGCTCCCCACTGTCTCTAGTGAATCCTCTCTCACACACCCCTCACACCTCTGGCTTGCACCCCAGCTCTTACATGAATAAACAAATAATAAAAATAAAAAAAAAAGTCAAGCATGAAGGCAGGTACAAACACACTCTCTCACACATTAACTATTGCTTATTAAACATCTGCCCTGTGCCAGCACAAGAGGTGCTACCATGGACGCTGAGAGCTTCCAATCAAAGAATCAGTCTGGGAAAGGCAGGAAAGAACTAACAGCTGTGACTATGAAGCTGTACAAGCACGCAACAGAGGGAACCGAAGGTGGGGACATCGCACTCAAGTGGGAGCCAGGAAGACCGCTCAGAGAGGAGACTCCAGCCTCTCTAGGAGCGCGAGGAGCAGCGCCCAAGTGAGCAGTGAGGAAACGAGTCACTGCAGCCCCCACAGGGCTTCTCCACTGCCTGGGACTGGAACCTGCCTGCTCTGACTGGGGGTGTGGGCCGCAGGGGCCCGACCATGAATAGGAGGCAGAGGCATTCAGGCAGCACCACCAGCAGACTGCGGCGGGGGCCCGGGGCTGACACTGACCTCCTCGGCGTTCTCCAAGTCATCGAGCCCTTCATCCTCCTCCACGTCATCGAAGTCATCGCCATCAAAACTGCAGGAAAAAAGAGGCCAGCTGAGCATTAAAGAGGGCAGAGCGCTGGATTCCAAGTATCTATCAACTCAATGGACTTAACGAGTCATCAGCTCCCCAATTTTTTAAAAGGATGCTTACTTTTGAAATCCTATTTTAATTTATTTATGCGTACAAGAACTGGGGTGCAGGCCAAAGGGACAGAGGCGGTGGGGAGAGGATTCATCAGAGACAGCGTGGGGAGCAGAACAGGCGGATCTACTGAAGTCCACTGCTGAGAGAGCAGCAGGGAGACAGGAGAGGTCTGCTGCGCCCTGGAGGTCGCTCCCTGGCGGGGATCCAACTCAAGCCACAGTGGTGATAAGTGATAGGGCTGAGATTTAACCTCACATGACCAGGGAGGCCCAGCCTCCAAATTTTGTTAGGATCATTCATCATCTTCCCCTCTGCGTTGGGATCCTTCTCATCAGGTGATAAACATAGTTACTTCCCCATCTTAAAAACCCAAACTTTTCTTTTACCTCCCCACAGAGCCCCATTTGTTAGTTGCCATTTGCATGTCTAATTCCTCCCTCCCCTCCTTTATAATCCCATCCCAGTAAGAGTCCTGTCTTAAAGCCTCCATCAAAACCACTTTTCAGATTCATCACGGATTTCCACGTTGCTGAATCCAAAGCGCGCTTCTTGGTCAAGGGTGCTTCTTGGTCTCGCTTAGCCTGTCAGGAGGCACACTACACGGCTCCCTCAGCTTCCACGCTCAAACCCGGTCCCCACCTGACTCAAGGACACCCATTCTCTTGTTGTTCCCCCAGCTCACAGGCTCTGCTCCCCCTCGGTCTCTGCGCTGGTTCCTCCTTCCCCCCAATGCTGAAACGCTCGGCCATGGTCAAGTCCTCCTCTCCTGGCACTCCCTGGGTCCTCTCAACTGTTTCTTAATTTTGAGAAACACACGTATGCTGGCCACGCCCCTTCTGACGGCGCTCCACTCCCCACACACCAGGAAATCGGTTTGGCTCTAACTTCACAATAAATCCAGAATGCCAAACCACCCACTTACCACCTCTGCTACTGCTACCCTCGTACAAGTCTCAACTTTCTGTCCCCTACGTTACTGCAGCCCTTCCAGACCTTTACCGGCGGCAAGCCTCGCCAGGCCCTTCTCCGGGTCACTCTACCCTCCACTCCTCCCCTCGTCCGGGGGTAACGTGCGGGTCTGCCCCTGTTCTAGAAAGCGCACGCGGAGAGCGGGGGCAGCGCCTGCCCAACTCGTGGCAGTCCTCCCAGGACAGGAGCCAGGGCCAGAGCCCGGCTCAGCGGACGTCTGCTGGAGGCCACCTTCCCACCGACCCCTCTGGACCCTTGGCCTGGGCCTTCCTGTGCCCAGTTTGCGCCCCTGGCCTTCCGCCTCCCGTTCCCCACCGCGCGGACGCCTCGGCCGCCCGGGTCCCCCGAACACCACCCGTGACGCCCCGTCCTCCACACCCTGCCAGCCGGGCTCCCGCTCCACCCGCCCGTTCCGGAGCTCCGCAAAGGCCACTCCGCTCCCGCACTCACTTGTCCTCGTTGTCTGACATGCCGCCCGCGCCCCAGCCGCCCGGCTCTGCGCCCCAAAACACAGCGTAGACGCACAAGTTCCGCGGTCCCGCCTCGCGCTGCGCCACGCGAACTCCGCGCCTGCGCCGTGCCCACAGGGAAGCACTTCCGGGGAGGGGCGGTAAAGATGCGCATGCGCCTGAAGGCGCGTGCCCGTTTCCATAGTAGCCGGAGCTCACAGCAGTCTGTAGTAGCTGGGACAGCCGAGAGTCCCGCGGGGCGCCCGACTGGGTGCCAGAGTGGGTCTGGGGTGGAGCCGTGGTTCCGGCCTCTGCAGCCCAGACGCCGCTCTCCGAGGGGAGGGGGGCTTCCAAACGGGGTCTTACTTTAGGGTGAGGCTTCCGTTTTGGTGTATCACCCAAAGGGCTTTGTCCTGACCCTGCGGTTATCTTAATGCCCTCTCCCTCCCGCGGCGACGCCCGATGAAGTCTGGGGATGGGAGGGAAGAGAGGGGTATCTGGTCAGGGTGGGAGTATCGGGCACTTTAGCACTTTTGACATCTTAATTCTCTGCTACCCCACCCCTGCTTTGGGTGGCCCGCTTTGGGTGATGTGGGGCGTGTGCGGGAGCAGAGATTGGGGCTGGGAGATGAGGAGCGTGTCACTGCATTTTTCCCTCCTCAGGGCCCTCTCATGGCTTCCCAGGAGAGGGTGGAGGCGGTGACTAAAGGAGCTGGGTTCTGGCGCTGCCCCAAGCCGGCCACATACACCCCAGGGACCTGCGAGCTGCTCAGAGGTCAGTACGCTGCAGAAGAGCCTAGTAACAGTTACCCTCTAACTCAGCTCTCCCCTACTTGACCTGTGGCTTAGCAGCTGCTATTTTCATTTTACAGCTAAGAAGCCTGGAGTTCAGAAAGGTTAGAATCCCACAGGAGGCCAAAAGTCAAAGCATTAAGGGCACGGTAGTACACTCCTGTGCATCCCTTAGGTCAAATTTCAGTTTCTCCAGGGAAGGCACATGTCCTCCCCACCTCCACCCCACAGTGGAACCCACCTCTGGGGTGAGCGTGGCACCACCAGAGCTGCCCCTCCCCCGGGCTGAGCGCAGCCTGTGGCTGAACTACAGTCTGTGCTCGTGAGGTGCCCCCCTGGCATTAACAGCCGTCTCCTCTCTGATCATGAACAGGGAGGACAGGTCCCATTGGGCCCACCAGCCCCTGCACGTGCTTCATGAATACTTGTTTGTTCGTTCATTCCCTCAACAGGTTTTTTGAAAGCCTATGCAGACTTCAGACCTGTTTTAAGTGCAACATTTGAGGGAGGGGGCAGCAAAAATTCTTATTCTCCTGGAGCTAATATTTTAATAGGAGATAAACAATAACCTACATAAGTAAGGTATAGAGTCTAGATGGTGATGAGCACTATAGAAAAGAATGATGCTGGAAAGGGAGAGGCAAGCTCAGGTGCAGAAGGGGAGAGAGGAAGTGACGCTGTTAAATCCCCATGAGATGAAATGAGGACGCTGGCCTGCAGCCAGGAGGCCTCACAGAAGTACTTTATCTTGCAGTGATGATGAAGGAGTCCAGGCTGACTAACTTCCAACAGCGCCACATCATGGACACCATGAAAAGTAAGAGGCAGTTCACACAAACTTCCTGGGCTTGGGGCCGCCTTTAAAGATTGATTTACTTAGGCACACAAGAACTGGGGTACAGGCCAGAGATGCAGGGGGTGAGAGGATTCACCAGAGACAGAGTGGGGAGCAGATCAGGTAGATCTATTGAAACACACTGCTGAGGGGAGCAGCAGGGAGACAGGAGCGGCCTGTGCGCCCTGTGGGTCAGCTCCCTGGCCAAGGATCCAACGCATGCTACAGTGGCTGCAGATGTCTTCATAGTGCTGAGACTAACCCCCTGCACCACCAGGGAGGGCCCCGGACTGTTTGTTTTTAAGAAAAACAAAACGTGGAAATATGTGGATCTCCAGCAAGGTGCTCCTAGGATCTTGAACATAGTTTTGCTTTTGCTTTCTGAGATTTACCTGACTGCACATAAATAGCTCAGGACAGAGACCTATGAATGACTTTGAGAGAGAGTGCTAGAAGGTTCAGGCCTCCTGAGTTGCACTTGACTCTACCCAAAGCTATTTCTTTCTCTCAAGAAAGAACGCGCCTGTCAGGAGGGCATCGGACCCGTCCCAGGCTCATAGGGACGGGAAGTCAGAGGCAAAGATGGACAGCGCCCTGGTGCTGGCCGGGAAGGGCGGCCCTGTGCCCCAGCCGAGGAGCCACGTCCCCTCCTCGCTGCAGACAAGGGCCGCTCGGGCTGCCAGGGCCATCACATGCCTGTTCCACAACTCGGTCTCCACACTGGGCAGCGTAGCATGGCTACAGAGCATGTGCTGGAAATTCCCCTGAAAGTGAACGCCAGGAGGCCAAGGACAGTGTCCGCCTTGTTCGCCACCGGAGCCCGGCGTGTAGGTGTTCAGTATTTACGGAAGGGTTCACTCTGTCAGTGGTTAGGCCAACACAAGTAACTGCACTGCCTGGCACTTTCTTCTCTTCAGTTTTCTTCTGAAAAAAAAAAAAATTCACCCCCAAGCACTGGCACTGAGTCACCTTTCTTCTAGAACCCCCTCTTTACTCTCTTCTCAACCAGATCCTAGTTGTTTTAGCTCAAATTCCACGGCAGGCCACAAACTCCCCTCATGCACCGGAACACCCAGTATTACTCCAGACATAAATTATCCACTGAGAATGGACCAAGGGAAGAGGCGGAAACAGGGCAGGGGGCCCTGCTCGGTAGCCCCCCATCTCCCAGAGAAGAGCCAGGATGTCCTGGCGTGGCTCCCTGGAGGCGTGGGGGAGCTGGGTGGGAAATAGGGCGCCCCCCCTTCCATTCCCCAGGACCCACAGCCACCCATCAGCTCTCCTGTCTGCTTGACCTTCAGCCACAGCCTGACTGCAGCCTCTGCCCTCCACACCCCCAACTGTCCTTTCAAGAGGAGCCCAAGGGGGCCTGCGCCTTGCTCAAAACATTCCTATAGTTTCTCCAGACCTGGCTGGCCCAGCCTTCTGCCCTCCCTGGCCTCTGGCTTTACTGCCAGGACACACCCCCAGCCCGCCCTGGTCACTCCATTCCTGCCCCTCAGCCCCAGGCCCGCCCAGGTTCTTTGCACTGGCTGTTCCCTCTGGCTGGAAAGCTCTGCCCCAAAATACCTGCCTAGCTGGCCTCCTGACCACTTTGGGGGGCTTTCCTCAGTGTTACCCTCTGGAGGAGGCCCTCCTCTCTCACCCCAGCCCTTCGCTGTTACTGTTACACCCCGCCTGCCTTCAGGTTTTAGGCCGCCACCTGCAGAAACAGAAACTGCAGTACAAAGGCTTGATGCAGGAGAACGTTTATTGCAGCATCATTGTTTGAAGTAGTAAAAACAAATTGGAAACAGTGTGGAGTTTTGAAACCGGGAGACAGGTTGAATAAATAATGTATCCATTCCAAGGACTAGTATAGAGCCATAAAAAAATAAGTTACATATAAGTGCATCAACCTGGAAAGATGTCCATGATGTGTTAGGTCTATTCTGAACATAATACAGAATGATCCAGTGTTTGAAAACAAATCCCGTCTGCACACACATCTGTGTGCATGTTCGCGACTGTGTGCATGTTCGCGTAAGCATCAAGTGGCTTGGAGAGGACACTGCGGAGGGCGGGAGGGGCAGCCCGTCCTGCTGCTGGGCTCGTTATGCAGGCAGCACCCCCTGCCCCCAGGAGGAGAGTCGCTGCCCCTGCAGTGCAGCCCGACGTCCAGCCAGAGGGTCCTGCCCGCCAAGGAGCCGGCCTCAGCCACCTACCTGCCGCCCATCCTGGCGGCCCAGTCCCACCTCCGGCCTGCCAGTGTGTGCCAGGCCAACGGGGCCTACCACCGGGAGCAGTTCAAGCCTCAGGCCACCCGTGAGTGGGCGTGTGGGCCAGAGCCTGGCCGCCTTCCTCAAGGGGCTTGGGGGGGGCACCGGGACAAGGCACCCCCAGGCGGGTGAGCGGGTGTCTGTCAGATCCTCACAGTGTACACTGATGCTCTTGAGCTTTGGCACGTGTTAGCTTGGGGGTGTTCAGAGTGCGGGGGAAGCAGGTCAGTGGTTCTTTAAAAAAGTTTTCCAGGATCCGTGGTTAGCCGGTGCCTAATGTCTGGCGAGTGTCTGGCTGCAGGACTCATGGGCACGGCTCTCAGGCCACATGGTCCCCAGACCCAGAGCTCCCCCGCACGTCTGCCTGTTCAGAGTCGTTGTCCCCCACTTCCTACTTGGCCCCTGACATAACGCTCGGCCCGGACTCCCCCAGCCCCCCAGCCCCGACACGCTGGCCGCCCTAGGCCTGCTGCTGAATCCTCTTAGCCTCGCCTTGCACGCAAAGCGTGGGCTTTGCCAGAGCCCTCTTCAAGGCTCTTTCCATCCCTTCCTATCTTGACATGACAAGCTCGGGGCCTTGGGGCTCCCGGGCACCCGGGGAACCCACCGCGCGGGTTCCCACCTTCTCGCCTTGACCAGTTAGTTTCTGGACCCCCCAGGAGATCTGGAGAAGGAGAAGCGAAGACTTCAAAACATCTTCGCCAACGGGAAGGACTCAGAGGAGCGGAGGAGAAAGCCCCCTCCCGCAAGGCACCAGGACCCGGCCCCTGGGCCGGACCGCTTCGAAGAACGTGAGCCTCGGTGGGCCAGTGGTGCTGGGAGGGCCCGGAGGGGCCAGGGCGACCCCGAGGGAGGAGCAGGCTGGTCCCCAGAGGCGCACCCCCACCCTCCCGAGCCGAGGGCCCTGGACACTGCTGCACCTCCCTGCAGTGGTGAAGGAGATCCAGGAGAGGAAAGATTTCCTGACAGACATGGAGGCCCTGGGGCAGGGCAGACATTACCGGGGCATCATCTTTGCTGAAATCTCCCAGGTAGGAGCGACAGGGACTTGGGAGGGGGGGAACGGCCGGCTGTGCTGGGAGAGGAGGGGCCCGCTGGGCCCAGGGCCCAGGCTCCAGCTCCTGCTTCATGTCGTGGGAGCTAGCCACGCCCCTGCCCTGAGCCTCAGCTCGCCCTCCGCAGAAACTCCGGGAAATGGAAGACATTGACCGCCAGAGGAGTGAGGAGCTTAGGAAGGTCCTCGCCAAGGTTTAGCCTGTCCCCAGAGGGGGCCGGAGCCCCACCACCACCTCTGGAGCCTGCCCCCGCCAGCCGGGTACCCCTCTCCAGCTCAGCCCACTCACCCTGGCCTGCAGCCACGTCAGATGGCCACCCAGCGCTGCCCTGGGCTTGGGGAGCCAGGCCTGTATAGCACCCTAGAAAACGATCCGCCTGTCAGAACTGATTCTCCTCAAGCCTCTGCCCAGGGCCCGCTAAGACCCAGTCACAGGCACAGAGGCCCACACCCAACTTGGTTCCTCAGCCTTCCAGGGAAGGAGCCCGGCACGCCAGGAACGCTAGGCCTGTGCTGCGCCTTCGGCCGAGTCTGCAAGTACCAGCGGGCCCTCCTCCTGCCCTCCGGCCCCTGAGTCCTGCACGTCTGGTTTTCTGAACTTAGCAATGAACACGATGCCTTTTCCTGCCCGTCTCAGGACCCAGACAGCCTCTGGCAAATGTTTAGCCACCACGATTAACAGGTCAATAAAACATACTTAACATAAGTCATTACACACATTTTGTTTTCAGAGGGATAAGGCTTATTTGTTCAAGAAGTTTGAATTTTTCAGGCACAGATGGTTTCTAGCTCCTGCAAGAGTCAGGTAGGTTGGGGACCAGCCCTTGATGGTCCATGACACCTGCGAGAACACGGCCCGGGTACACCCTAGGCTGCAGGAGGCTACGCACACCCACAGTCCTGCCATCTGCCCACCGACCCCACCGCCCACAGAAGAACTCAGGTGGGAGGGCCCAGAGCCAAGGGGCTCGGGCCTGGGAGGCCCGGTCTCCCCCGGAAGAGCCCACAGCGGGTGGGCAAGCACAAACCTACATTTCCCAGTATTCTGTCATTCTCCGGTCCGTAAATCAAAATAATTTGGAGTTTCAGCCAAGTCCCCCACTGGAAGGATTCACACAGTCCTATGGGCCTACACAGGCCTGCAGGTTTACAGAATAAACACAGCCCTAAAGCCGCACAGAGAGAAGCCGAGCCGGACAAAGGGCAGGCGAGGGCGTCTCTGTGGGGGCCCCACACCTCCCAGAGCCTGAGGCTAGGGGGAGGCCGGCCATCCTCCTCGCCAAGACCCCGGCCCTGACCCGAGGCAGCAAGCTGGAGGGCCGCTGCCGAGTTCCGTCCCCGGCCCACCCAGCCTGCCCGTGACTCAAATTCCAGCCGCCACCAACCTCCAGACTACACACACACTCTGGGTCGCCAGCTTTTCCTAGAAAATGGTTAGATGGAGCAACGCGGGCCCCGTCCACCCGGGGCAGCTGACTGGCTCAGGAAGCACCGCACCCTTGTGGCACCGACACCCCCAGCTTCCCCGAGCCCCCCCAGGTCTCCCACCTGACTCCAGGACAGCCTGTCGACGCCAGCTCTCAGGTCACACCCAGTCCAGTCCATGTGTCACCTGGCCGTCCAGCTCCAGGCCCGCCGGCTGGCAACACAGGCCGGGAGCCCGGTCACCGCAGAGGGAGGGGGCCGAGGCCCCTGCTGGGGACAGACCCTCCCAGGCCACCAGAGCTGCCTGGCCACAAGCTGTGGCGCGGAAGGCACACCTGGCTGAGGGAAAAGTAACAGGGGCAGGACGCGGGGAACTGCCCCGTCTCCGTGCATTTTGGGCGAGGAAAACGCTCTCAGTTAATACAGTGTGATCTCTCCCCGGAGGTGCCTGGGGGAGGGAGGCCGGAAATGCCCCCGAAGATGCTCAGAGCAGCAAAGCTTTGACCGAGAGCTGCTGGGCACGTCCGGGGGAGGCCAGCGTCCCCTGTCGGCTGCTGCTCTCCCACGGCCACCCCAGGGGGTGAGTGGCCATGAGCCCTTCAGAGGGAGCAGGTCAGGAGAGAACAGGCAAAAACGAGTGTGAGCAGACCAGTGACGGCCACGCACGGGAACGGATCCACTGTCCCCTAGGCTGGGGGCGGGGGGGTAGCCCAAAGCAGGGGTCAGACCACAGTGGGTCAGAGAACCAGGCAGTGCCGCTTCTAAGTACACCCCGCTTCAGCTGGTGGCCAGGGGGCAGAACTGCCGCTGAGGACGGCCTGGGGGCCAGCCCGGGGAGCCGCCCCCCGCTGTCACTGCCAGGTCCTGGGGAGGGAGGCTCCCCCAGAGCAAGGGGAGAGGAGGGACACCTGCCTAGACCCCGGGGGCGAGGGCGAGGGCGGGCCGGCGGGTGTCCGGGACACAGCGTCTAACTAGGCTAACTAGAGGCGTCATAAATAGAGCTCCTGAGTGAGGCCGTGGCGCCGGAGCGGACGGCGGGAGCAGGGCGGGGCGCTGGCCTGCCGCGAGGGGCAGAGGCTGGACGTGGGGTCCCAGGCCCAAGGCCTCCTGCAGGCGGACCTCCCAGAAAGACCTCAGGGTCTGAGGAAGGGGCGGCAGCTGCCCCTCATGGCAGGCAGGGGCTGGCGGGCGCGGGCAGCGGGGCCCTGGACCCCGCTTGCTCCCTGGTCAGTCATAGCATCTCGAGCCGCAGGGCTTCTGGGCAGGGCTGGGCCTTGCTGCCTGTGACTCGGAAAGAGGGAAGAAAGCTCTTTGGCCCGGGACAGCCAGAGGACCCTGAGGAGGGAGCGGCCATCTCCCAGCGGCTCCCCACTAAGTCAGCTCTGCTCTGGACTGACGGAGGAGGCTGCACACCCCAGTGGAGCACCGCCCAGGCTGAGCCCGGGGGCAGAGGCCAGCACTGCGGGTCAGCTCCTGTCCCCGGGGGACTTGCTCTTGATGTCCCGCTTGTTGCCCAGCAGCTTCAGCACCTTCATGGTCTTGAACTTCCCCTTCTTCTTGCCCTCCGGTTCAGCCTCCTTCTGGAACTCTGCAGCAGCGAGAGGGGAGTGCTTAGGTCCAGGCAGCTGGCAGGGCGGGGAGGCCTGGGAGCACGGCTGCAGGGGGCTTGGGGGAGCCCCCACAAGCCACATGGCCTTTCTCAGCCTCCAGGTCTCCATCCACAGGAGGGGCGCACGCCCCTCCCCCACCTTGTGGACAGGTGGAGATAACGCCCAAGCAGACTGGGGCCACAGCAGCATGGCGCTCCTCGCCTCTGAAAGGCTCAGCCGGTCCAGGGGGTGCTCACAGCTCTGGGGGGTGGCTGTCCAGAGGGAACCTCTGTCCCAGCCCTGAATTTTACGGCCGAGGAAAGCGCAGGTCCCCGAGACAACCAGCACTGACTGAGCCCTTGCTGGTACCAGGCCTGGGCCAAGCCTTTCCTGCACCTGGCCAGCTGGTCATCCCCTGCACACGCCTGTGAGGTGGGTGCCCAGGTAAGGAGGCCGAGGCCACGAGGAGTAATGTGGCCGGCTCAGTGCTTCCAAGAGGTAGTAGGCCTAGGCCCCGGCGCTTTACTGAGCCCCGACTCAACCACCAGGCCACAGAGGGAGCCCGGGTGGAGCCGCAGTCAAAGCCAGCTGTGTCCAGCCCAGCGGTCCTCCCCGCGCGGCCTGGGGGCCAGCCGTGTGAGCCGCAGAGCCGCAGGTCTCAGGACAGCGCCTGCGAACCTGCCCCTCACACAACCTCCCTCCCTGGGGCGCCGGGGCAAATCACGCCTCCCTGCTAGGCGCTGGCGCTGGCCACTGGCCGCCTCCCCAGGCCAACCTCCCAACGCCAGCTGCCAGGGCAGGGCGGCAGGGCGGCAGGGCGCACCTTTCTTCTTGATCATGGCCTCCAGCATCTTGTCTTCCTCTTCCTCTCTGAAATGACAAAGGGAAGCTGAGCATCCCGCACAGGAGGGCCAGAGTGCCCGGCTCCTGCAGACGGGTCGCCGCGGGGCTGGGTGCGGGCCGGGGACCCCACCTCTGCCGGTCTTCGTCCAGGCAGTTGACGATGGCGTTACGCTGCTCGATGAGGGTCACCAGCTCCTGCATCAGCACCTTCTCCCGGGCCCGGTCCTCCTCGGTCCAGTCTTTTTCTGCCAAAGGGAAAATGGGGGCCATGAGTCGAGGCAGGGGACTGCCCTGTTTCCCTAACACCTCAGTGCTGAGTCCTGGGCTGGAGCCTAAGAGTGCGGGAAGGGGGCCCCAGATGGGTCAGCATTACAAGTTGGGGGGGAAATGCAGGCTGCTCTGGAGGACACTGGGGGGGCCCTCGGCCTTTCCTCCACCACCGGCCTCCCCACCCCAAGCCCCTGGGCCCCACAGACTCCCAGGAGCAGGCGGGCCAGCCCCGCTCTGACGCCAGCCAGGGCTTCAGAGTCGCCACCACCGTCCAGTTCCTACTCGGCCACTTCCCAAACTGGGCCTGAGCGGCAAGTCCCCCACCTGCTGTGCGGAAGCCAAAGTCTAGGAACATGAGTCCCTGACGGGGATCTCACGGCAAAGGTGGGGTCGGCAGAACCCCAGCTGCCTGACTCCCCAAACTGCAGTCCTCACGTGTCTTTCGGTCTCCAGCCATGCGCAGCCCCATGAACCAGGCCCAGTGGCCGGCAGGCCGGGACAGGCGGGTGCAGCACCCACTCCGGCCACGGGGTGTCGCTGCGGCTCGAGGGCCCCTCCCGCGGGAAGAGGCGGGCTGACTCGTGGAGGACTGACCAGGAAGGGCCGGACCCCCAGTGGCCTCCCCAGGGGCACCCCTGCCTGAGCCCCAGCCCAGGGCTGGGCAGGGCCGCAGGGGAGCGCAGGGCATGGGAGAGGCCTGGGCACATGCCCAGCCCCAGCACCCACAGAGGAGACCCCTCCCGGGGCCCGCCACCTCCCAGCCTGGGACATGGGGACGGCGCTCCCGCCAGCAGGCACTGGCCGGGGCACCCCACCCGATGGCCACAGACCCCCACTCAGCCACAGGAAAGCCATCAGCCGCTCAGCGGACACACCCGCCACCGCCTGGCTCCAGCACACCCAGGGGACACCGTCCCTCCGGCGGACACGACACTCGGAGCCGCCCGCCTCCCCGCGGCTGAGAACCCGGCTCAGGAAGGCCGCCCGGCCGGCCAGCAGCAGAGCGCAGTGACCCCAGGCCTCACGCTGCCCCCCACCTCCCAAGCCCCCCTCACTGCCCTCCCGCCCCTGAGTCTGTGGCAGCAGCTGGACAGGCACCCGCTGCCCCTCGGTCCTGGCGCCGTCTCCCGGGCGCCTGCCGCCACATATGCCAGGGGAGGACGCGGCACAAAGGCCCCTCGCTGCTGGGCCTGGCGCTCCCCGCGGGCAGTGCTGTCCTCTCCCCTGACCCGGCCTATCTGCCCGCGCGGCCCGGCCAGCCCCGGCTGCTCTGGGCCCTGCGGCGCCAGGCTCACCTGGCTTGTTGAGCAGGCACCGGAGCTCGTACTCCACGTCAGCCTGGCGTTGCTCCAGGTTCTGCTGCTTGAAGCTAGAGGGAGGCGGGCCGAGGTCAGCGCCCCGCACGCGGCCTGTGCCGCCAGGGTGGGGCGCGGCAAGGTGGGCGACTCACACGTAGATGAGCTCGGACTCCCGCCGCACCAGCAAGTGCTTCTCGTGGATGAGCCGGAACCAGTCCACCAGCAAGTCGTCCTCACGGCCCTCTGCAAGCCAGGCGCACACTGAGCTCTGCCCCCCGGCCCCGCCAGCCCCCGCCCGGCGCAGGCCCCGGCCCGCACCATGTGCTCCGCCACGCAGCTTCTCCTCCAGCAGGACCCCGCGGTGTTCCAGGGTGTCCAGCTGGCGCTCGATGGTGTCCATCTCGCCGTGGATGTCCTCCTCGGGGATGTACTGGTCCGCCTGCACCTGTGCGGCGGCGTCTCATCACCAGGACAGCCCAGTCCCCCCAGCTGCCCGAGGCCCGCTCGGCCCTCACCCCGCGCGGCCAGGATCCCGGGCAAGGAAGGGGAGAGGCGTGGCCCCGCAGCCCCGCCTCTGGCCCCACAGCACACTCAGAGGGACACTCATGCCCGACGGCGGCCACCCCGGACAGCGGCCCACTAGAGGTCACTCGAGAGTGCAGAGCCTGAGTCATACTCAAGCACAGCGTGTCCTGTGGCCGCTGATGCCCCAACTGCTGTCCGCAGCACGTTCAAGCCACCGCCCACCGCTCCTGGCCGAATCCTCGGGCTGCCCCACCGAGAGCCCCCTCTGCCTCCTGAGGGCGGCGGCCACCCTCTCCGAGAATCCCGGGGCGCCTGAGGCGGAGGCTGCGTCTGGCCCAGGAAGCAGCCAGGGAAGCAGGGGCCCGGGGGCTCCCGGCTGGTACCTTGCGCTTGATGAGAGGGAAGCCGTGGCCGGGGGCGGGCGGCCTGGCGGGTCTGGCGCCCCTGGAGGCCTTCTTCACGGCGGGGGAGGCCGCAGGCGACGCCTTCCGGTTAAAGGGATTCTCCTTGCAGGAAGACTGCAGGCGAGGACACGGCAGGAAAGGCCGGTCAGGCAGTCGGACCCCAGCACTCTGGAGGGCCGGCCGGGCCCCAGGGCAGGACTGGCCTTCGGGGCAGGGGGCCGGCGCTACGGCCGATGCCTCGGTCACCGAGCGGACATCTCCGCTGCGAGCACCCTCACGGGCAGGCGCCGCACCAGGCGCTCCAGGCTCCGTCCCGGCCTCAGAACCGCCCTGGGGCTGGGCTCCACCGCGCCTCTCACGCTGCGTGGGGCGACGCAGTGCTCACCTTCACCTGGAGCTGTGGGGACGAGGTGCCCGGGGAAGGCGCGGGGCCCCTGTCAGCCAACAGGAGAGGGCTGGGGGCGGCGCCCGTGCAGGGCAGGGCCGGGGCGCTCGGGCCACCCCCGGGGTCGGCCTGCGGCTTCTTCTTCTGGCCGGTGCCGGGCGGCTCCAGCTCCCCGGAGGAGGACAAGGAGGCGGTGGAGGTCGCCGGGGTGCCGGGCGCGTGGACGGCGGGCTCCGAGGAGCTCTTGGGCACGGCTGGAGGCTCCAGGAGCTCCCGGCCCGGGGCCTGGCCGCAGCTCTCGGACGACAGGCTCTCCACGCTGCGGGCCGGCGACGGGGTGGCCGAGGGCGGCTCCGAGCGCGACAGGCGGGAGACGTGGAGAGCTGGAGCGGGCGGGCGCCCGTGAGGGCACGTCGGGGCCTCCAGACCCCGGCACGCCCCCCGTGCTAATGGCCGCAGGCAGTCCAGAAGCCCAGGACCCCACATAAGCGTGGCAAAGGCCCAGGAGCAGGACCGGGCGCCTCGCCCGAGGCAGAGGCACTGGGCTCCGGCACCACCCGCCCGCCGCTCGCCCGTTGGCCACCAGCCCCTTCCTCACCCCGCAGGGCTTCACCCCACTGCCCTGCCCCTCCGCAAGCCCGAGCCCGCAGATCAGACCCGGAATCGTCACACAGGTGGCGGCCGGGCCCGTGCTTCGAACTAGCTCCTCTGTGTTTTCCAGATGAGGCCCAGACTAAGGGGAGGCCCTGCCCAGCGCGGGGCCTGCAGCCCCTCGGCCCACCTCCTGCCCTCGGAGACCACTGCACTTGGGGCCCCAGGGCCCGAGCCGGGGTCCAGACCCCCAAGCACCTGCCTCTGGTCACTCTAACGTGCTCTCAGGCCCACGGCTCCCGGGCAGCTGGGCCCTGGCCGTGTGAGTCGGCCAGACAGGGGGGCACAGTGCCAGGGCGGCCCAGGACAGGGCCCAGGAAGGCGGCGTCTGGGCGCAATGGCTCAGGGCAGGACGCCAGCTCAGGAGTCCTGGCTGGCTGGCACAGGCCACGCTCAGCCCGGTGCCCAGCTGGGGCTCAGCTGGGCCAATCCTCCTCGAGCCGGTTCAGGCCTCCACAGGGAGGTGACGGTTCCCACCGCAAGGGTGTGCTCGAGGCTCAGGAGAGGACACACATGGAGCGGCTGGGTGGAGGGGACCCCCCCCCGCACCACCCCCCTTCTCCCAGGTGGTGCTCGGACTTGCAGGGCTGGCACTCACCCAGGGGTGACGCGCTGGGCGCTCGGGGGGCCGGGCGCTTCTTTGTCTT